TAATAAAAACATTGGAAGAGCTCGTTTACCACTCTGAGAATCCCAGAGCATTAAAAAAAATTTCCATAATTAAGAGCAAACTGCCAGTAATATGGAGATCGAATCAGAGGGCATGGGTCACGCAATATCTTTTCAAAGAATGGCTATTTACAGTTTGTGCTCCGAGCATCAAGGACTACCTTGATACCAATGACTTGCCGTTGAAAGCACTGCTGCTATTGGACAATGCACCAGGACACCCAAATGATCTTGAAGATATATTGTTGACAGACTTTCCCTGACTGACAGTTCAGTTTCTACCTCCGAATACGACTTTGCTGATTCAGCCGATAGATCAGGAGGTTATTGCGGCTTTCAAGAAATTGTACACTCCAGGGGTCTGTCCAGGCCGAATTTACTACCGTTTAGCGGTACCTTCACAAATTCAACTTTAGGAAAAACGGTAATTTCACAAATTCAATTTTAGGAAAAACGGTAGTTTCACAAAATACTTTCTCTTAAATTTTTATTTTTGTATCCCTTAAGAAACGATAAATCCATATTTTTGTGTTGATTTTTTAGTATAATTTTTAATTTTTCACAAATTATGTCTAAATTTTCACAAAATAGGTACCTCTCAGAAAAACCTAGACAGACCCCTGCACTCGCACGCTGCTTCGTCGGTGTTTTGAAGCAAGCCAATTCTCCTCAACAATGACTTTAAAAAGTTTTGGAAGGAAAAATTTGACATTCTTGAAGCTATTCGTATCATTCAAAAGGCGTGATCAGAAGTCACACAGCGACAGTTGATTTCTGCTTGGCGGAAGCTGTGTCCATCCTTCGTTTTTTTAAAAACTTACTAAGAAATTATACATTTTTTAAAATTTAATTTTTGGGGTCTCCAGAACGAATTAGTCGATTTCACATAGAAGTCTATGGTGAATCGATGATCGGTTAACGAACAATTCGGATAGCGAACATAGTCTTGGAACGGATTATGTTCGTTAACCGATCACCCACTGTATATATATATATATATATACTTTTTATGATTTTTTCACGCTTTAACCGCGTGAACATCTTAGTCGGTGACTGTCTTGTCTCAGACAATCTTAAAATAAGATTAAAATATGAATAAAAAAGAAGTGTTTAAATTGTCTTTGAAAATTTTAAAAAATGTTATAGGTAGGAAATTTAATGACTTTTAAAATTATTAATCAACAAAGGAAAGCAGGCTAATTATTTACTTTCTAACGGAAATAAAAACTAATCATTAAAGTAAGCTATGCAATAAATAGTTATTAAAACAAATTAACAAAGGATAACTAACAAGAAATAAGCTAACAATTAATAATTAGCAAAAATACTAGTTTACAGGAAATCACAAAAAAAATAAGAATTAATGTAAAAAAACGAACAGATAATAACTATAGAAAGCAAGCTAACAATTAATAACTAGCAAAAAATAAATAACTGTTACTAACAAATAATTAGTCGGAAGAAGTAATTAATCCCTTAATAAACGTGATTTTGTAGTACATATTATTTTATTTCACATTCAAAATTATTATCACAAACTATTTATCACAGTGTATTTATAGGTAAGTAAACAGCTTTTAAACTAATTTTTTTCATTTCCGTCAAATTTCGAAATCGTTAAAAGTGTGCAGCCACAAAAAAAGAAGGTTGAGAATCACTGTTTTATACAATCATTTATGTCCAAAAAACCAAAAATTTCAATTTCCATTTGATTTAATAAAGTACTTGTTATATTTTCTCTCTGAGGGGCAGTTTCGTTATTTTATTTTTTCCTTCTATTAACATTCATTTCTTATTGTAATTCAACTTTTATTTAGTAGGTACCTATTTTGTAATATGTATACCTTTTATATTTGTACAAAACGTTTTTTTAATTGGAGCATAGTTAGGACTGGGCGATAAATCAATGTATCGCGAAATACCGATTTAACGCATATATCGGTAGGCCGATGTAATGACTTTCGTTTTTGGCGATGTATCAGAAATCTGATTTAAGCCGCCTGAATAAGACTACAATCGCGGTTTAACGATTTAATATGCAAGGAGCCTTGACTAGGCTAACGCTGTTACGGCACTGACGAAGACGATTTTGATTTAGTCTAGCTCAGGGATTTCCAACTTGCATGAGGCCGGGGGCCACAAATAAAAACACAAATCAGATGGCGGGCCGCAACTTTATCAAAATTTTTTGTAGGATTCTTTTATGTTTGAAGGAACATTAAATATTACTGTCAGAGTTTTACCAAGTTGTACGAAACAAAAGTATTGAATTACAAATTAAAATAAGAAGTAGATTTTTAAAAATATTTAATTGTTATTAATAATATTTTTAAAAATATTAAATAAATAATAAAAATTCGGGCTACAATAACTTAATATGCACCTATGTATTAAACAATTGATGTGCAACAGACATCTTATTGTGAAGGTATTAAAACTAACATAGTAGCACACAAAATATTCAATGAGAAAATTGAGGTTTGTCTGCTGTAACCACCAGAGAATAGATATTTACATTTTAAATTTAAAATTTAATAATGTGTAAGAAAATATTTTCGTCCAAAATGAGTGGTTTCAAAAAGTTAAATCGGAGAATTTCTTCGAGAAAANAAAAAAAAAAAAAAAAAAAAAAAAAAAAAAAAAAAAAAAAAAAAAAAAAAAAAAAAAGAGCAACATGCAATATTATTTTTGTATTTGAATAAATATTTTCTTGGATGCAAAACCTGAAAAATAAATTTCTTTTCACCGTTGGCATGTCAAATTTCGCAGAAACGAAGAAAATAGGATTTTATTAACGAGAAGAGTATTTTAAACCCACATACGAAATAAAGTACCATAAACCCCATGCGAAAATTGTCCGCAAAAAAATGACAACTAATATACTTTAGTTTGCGGGTCACAAAAAAAGGATTCGCGGGCCGGATTCGGCCCCCGGGCCGCCAGTTGGAAACCCCTGGTCTAGCTGCAGAGATGTAGATAGCGTTTTGCTAAGAAAGATAATGTTAGTTTCGTCATGTTGAATGACGAAGATCAAATTGAATCAGAACTCCCGGTTTCGTGCGAGGATCAGCGTTATAATATAAAACGCAATGCATAGTTTCTTTTTGTCTTTAGGATTTTGCGTTTTTTGAAGATTATTTTTAATGGGACTTAAGTCATTTTGCGATCGTTGTGCATTTTATTTCGTCGGAAATAATTGTCGGGTTTCTTGTAAATTATTTTCAGTGAGACTTTTGCTACTTAGCGATCGTTTTGTTCTACATTATTTCATACCATTTTATTTTCTGTTTGGGTTTAACGATTCTTGTCATTTATTCTTAGTAGACCTACTGTTACTTTGCGATTGCTGCACAATCACTGTTATCTTAAATTTTCGTTCTGAATTCAATAGATCAATGAAAAGAAAATATAAATAAAAAGGAAGATTCTTCATTGAAGATTCTTGATTTTATTTTCGAAAAAGAAAATAATAAATAAGTAAAAATATTTTTGCATTTATTATGTACATAATTTGACCATTATTTAATACTACTTTTTACTATTTTAAATAATAAAAAAAGGGTCTAATAATGTTTCAAAAGCATGGTTTTTTTTAAACAAATAATTAAAAAAAATATTTCATTTTTCTAAAGTGAACATTTCTTTGGTTTGTTTTCCACTTTCGTTTTTTTTTTTCTTTTAATTTTTAATGCATTTATGTAAAATATTTTGTTACGGTATTATTATTTTTAAACCAATAAGTCTTAAATCATTTTTAATTTAAGAAAAAGAAAATAAAGCTTAGGTTTGCTTTTACTTTGACTTCTTTATTATTTTAATTGAAAAAAATTGAGCCATGATATTGATGTCATAGTAGAATATGTTTAGAATTAATATTTTCTTTTGTAATAAATTTATTCATTTTTATTTATTTTTGATTGATTTAAAGGTAATTTTTGAACATATGCTAAATCGCGATATCTAACGGACGATGTATCACGATTTAAAATTTCTGACTTCACCCAGTCCTAATCATAGTATTTGACAATTAAGCTAAAATTTTATTTATTTGGCTACTATTTTTGATAAATTTTTGTTCCTGTTCAGGCAACTATTTTCACTATTTTCATTGTTTTAGGCAACTATTTTCATGCTTGGGGCTACTAAAAGCAACTAGTTTTTTTCATTTTTTACTGTGGCAACCCTGTCATACGTGCCCCTGTCCTATTGGTCCCTTGTCCTAAAAGGTGGCGACTTCGGCTATGGTAGCTACATAGAAATTCTCACGTATGAGTTATTATTATTCCTCATTTTCCATATATAAGTAAAAATATAGTAAATGTTTCGACTATAGTTAAACAAATTGTGTATTTAAATCAGCTTAAAAGTATCAATTTATTTCAATAAACTTCAATTACGTCCATACCTTTTATATTCTATTTCACATTCATAATTAAATTTTTATTTTATATCTGATCATTCTAATGACTAAATTCAATAAAATACATAATCCGGCTATTGACCCTGTAACTAGGTTCAAACAAAATTATATTCTTCATCGTTTTGTCACTTCTGTTCTTGTCACTACTGTGCCTTTTAAGACATTTTATGGAGGGGATATAAAATCACCATTAAAGACATATTAGCATCAACTGAATGATACACATAATGAGATTATAGAATCTAACTTGGTCTAGGCAAGATATTATCCTTCAAGATTTTGTCACTTCTATACTTGTCACTACTGTGCTCGTTAAAGCGTTTTATGGAGAGAACTTGACGGGGAGATAAATCACCACTAATAATCACCATATCAATAATCACCATATCAATAATCACATTGTCAGTTGATAAATCACCGTATCAACTGATAATTTTTACTAATAATTTTACAATAAATTTTTTTTACTGAAAATAAAGAAAAAAAAGCAACATTTTGGCTTCCTAATATTTTATTTATTTACATTTTTAAATTATGTTAAATGGGGGAGTGAGCTGTAAAAATTTGAATTAATAAAAATACTTTTTTTTTTTTTAACGAAGGTTAAAACCTCTTGAAACAAACGTTTTCAGCTTTTATTTAAAAATTACTATAACTATTTTGAACAATTAACACGTTGGATACTACGTCAGTCATCGGTGACTGACGCTGTATTTTTTTGTACTAATATTTTAATTGATCTATTGCTGAATGTTTACATTGTCGCAATATATTTCAAAAGTATTTATTCAAAAAAAAAATATTAGAGATAGTATTTTATTTTATAGCCGTCGTTGAACAGCCGACCGAATTTTTGGGTTTACGACTACTAATGTTCAACTCCGTAGCCTTGTAATTTTGAACCCAATCCAGAAAACAAGGGAACTCCTGGATTAAGTATTGGGAGAAATTTGCCTTTCGCAGAGGAGTTTTGATAGAACCCGTATTTGCGTTACATGGAGGACAACCACAAAAACCTCGGCAAGGGGACTCTATCCCATGATCCGTCCCATATTGGTGGTCTCGCACGAATACAGCTGAATTTGTTGGAAATTCACAGCAACATAGAAGATTCTTAGAACCAGATCCATTTTTGAATCTACAGATGTTAAGTAAACAGCGCTTTTATGTGCACCCCAAAGAAAGAAATCCATGCTGCTGAAATCAGGAGAGAGTGGTGGCCAAGGAGCCGGCGCTAGCTTTTACTTTTGATTGATCAAAAACGAGGTTGATTACGCGTTCTTAATAATTATTTAAATTTGATTCATTTTGTCAAATAAGATCAGGCATCAACAACTATGAACTAAGTTAACTGAATGAGTATTTCTAAATTCGGATAAGTATTTCTAAAGTTAACTAAAACCATTTGTTCATTTTGTGAATAGTTACGTTTTTGAAACATATTTTATTTAAAAATAAGCAATTTAAAATTAACGGTAATTGAAATAAAAAAAGCTATTTTTTTGTTTTGTAATAAAATTCCAAGCTATTATTAACGCCGATTGATTTTGGTAATTTGTTCTACTGTTATTGTGGTAATTGGTGCTGTTTTAATCAAAACTAAATATACCTATATAGATACCATAATAAATTTTTATGGTCCATCTTAAATGGTCCTATAAACCTACAGTCGGGTAAATACCGGAAATATTACTTCATTGTATTAAATTTTAAATATCTTAAGTTGGGATATCATAGTATGATACCAAATTATTGTAAATAAATCCTTATTTTAAAAGGATTTAGCCTTCAAATTTCTGTTTTTCTCAATATAATACCTTAAAGCATTCAGAAAGGTTTTAAAAAAATCGGTATTATATTGAATTATTTCATTATAGAGCATTCAGGGAGGGTAGCTTCTCTTTACTCTTGGCCAGTGTTTCCGAAACTTATGACTTTCGTGTACCCTTTCTAAAATTTTCGAAACGCTGTGTACCACTAATAAAGAAAAAATGAATGTATTTTTTACTATAAAAAAATTGCACAAAAGTTAAAAATCACAACTGGCTGTTGACACCACTAATTATTAACTGCTAACTCTGCAAAAAATAGTCAATAGAAAAACACGTAATCGTAAATTTTCATGGATAGCTTTGTTTTTAAATAGAATTTTTTGAAATTCTCATTTGTTTCAAGATATTTCGCATTAGAACGCGTAACCCCACTAAACTGTTCCCGTACCCCTGGGGGTACGCGTACCACACTTTGGGAAACACTGCTCTAGGGTTAACACAATAGACGGAAGAAAAATATACCCTTTCTCACGCCGACCCAAGCTAAAAACCTGTCCTAAGCAATAACCCTACACCCCTACTTGAAATAGTAATATCTCGTTACCATAGACACCACCACAGGTCCAGAAGAAGATCTTATATTAGACAAACTATACAAGCTCCCTGGAAAAACAAGAAATTAACTGTCAAGTTTCTATAAGGATATTTGAAAAATCACAATTTTAAGTTTCGAACTTAAGATATAATATTTGTTACATAATTATTTCTGTTCTGACACTTTTGAATAAAGAAAGTGGAAAGTTTTTAATTATCCCTTTAAAAACTTAACTACTAATTCTTCAGTTTTCCTAAGCCTCGAATTAAATAAAATATTGTATTTAAGTGTGTTGAGTTTGTCATTAAAATTTCCAATTACGCAAAGAAGCTACTGTTTAGGAACTTTTTTATAATCTCGTTCTTTTTTCATCATGTCATTCTATTTTTCTCTGATGATGTATTTTTCTACCCCTCTAGAAGCATGAAGTAAAGGAGACTGATTAAAAAAGGAGACATTGTTTTGCTCGAGTTACAGTTTTATATTGTGTTTTGCCTGCAGAACGATATCACAATGGATATGGCTGACGTATTTGAGATCATTGCGAATAACGACAATGTATGCCTGGCAGATTTTGTACGTCCTTATTATCCACATTCGGATGACGAATTTGAAACTCTATCGGACGAAGTGACTCAAAATGACATTTTCTTGATTTATTCCGCATTCCGGCGCTACATGCATCACTGTCCAAGAATAAATAAAGAGTCCAAGTCACGTGGTGAAGATTTTTTTCGTGTCTACGAAGATCTTGATAATTGGGCTAAAGGATTTTAAGCAGACGATATGATCCTTAACGAGAATAAATATTTAGTGAGAGGGGACGTTAAAGAACAATACGATCCAGAAGACAACACCTTAGTAAATTTTAATAGATACGCAGAAAACTTTCAGAATCTTTCTGATGTTGTGGATGCTCACATCCATGGCACCGAAAAACACGATCCAAATTACGTATGGTCATCTTTATTTGAAAAAACAAGTTGTTTCGGTGATGAAAGGAGCTTCAAACATTACTCTTTTGAAAACTACATGCATTGGATGCCTGCTTCTCTGAAGGAAGCCATCTTGACGGTGCGTACTTCAGAACGAGTGAAATGGTGCGTATATTTGCTTTTTACTTACCATTATGAGAACGAGTGTGGCTTGTTCGTTTCCTGCGCTCTTAAACTTTGTTTAAGAGCCTTTGACTTATGTGAGCAAGCGTTCCGTGTCTATGGATTTGAAACTTTTGCTAAATTGATGCGTTATGTATATCTCATTAAAGAATGCGAATGTGATACTCAAGTACTTTTAAGTTGTCTGCGTGTGCATTGTATTAGTCATCACATTGAAGACCGCCTTTTTAAGAAGCCTTTACTTTTAAAATTCATTCTGGGAAAAATACAAGCTGGAAAAGCCAAAATTCCCGGTGAACTCATGAGCATCTCTCCTTATTTTGATCCTCGTTTAAAGTATAGACCAAATGCTGATAGGTTCTTCTTGGAAGACTTGGATACTTTTTTAACTTTACTAGAATTTGGAATCAGCACTGACTTCAACGCATTCATATACTGTGATATTAAAGAGAAGATTCGAATCAGTGTTGCTGAGTAAGTTGATTAATTTAAATTTATTTTTTGAATTTTTTAAAATCGGAACAATGAAAGTTTCTTAATCTCAAGTGGGTATCTGTGGTTTGTTTAGGAAGACACATATTCAATAGTTTGTTTCGGGTGATAATTTTCATTAATTAATTTTCCAATGTTTTCAATAAGTGTCCAACTCTTTTGAGTTAAAAGATCACTCTTAATAAGAAAATATGTCCCGCAGTGGACTGATCGTTAAGACACGGTTCCCAGCAGATCACCGAAGTCAAGCATCACTGGCTACGGTCAGTGTGCGGGTGGGTGACCACTTGGATCAGTCTGCGTAGGGACCGAGGGTGTGCGGTATTGGTCCTCGTTAAACTGTGCTACCGTAAAGTGCTCGACTTCGCGCGCAGGTCGTCGGGCTACCGAAGCGGGGGTGCCATCCCTTCCGCAGAGGATCAAAATTGTGATGGCATATCTTCGGATCATCCTCCGGGATGTTTCCCAGACCGTCGCCAATAGCCCATTGTGCAGCTCTAGTGCGACGTAAAGTAACAACAACAACAACAATAAGAAAATATATTTGTTCAGAAATTAAAACTTTATTATTTTAGAACGAATTTTTAAAGTAATGGAATTTGAGGATATTTTATGCTGAATAATTGCAGCGCTATCTATAGCCGTTTGTTTGATTTCTCAGCGTAATAAATATAGACGACCACCCTATCATGAGTGGTATTTAAAATAATTTAAATTCAAAACTGAACTTTTTCAAAATTTGAAACGTTTTTAAGCCTTAACTATTTTTTAATTTTAAAAATAATTTTACACTTGCCTTAAGTTTAAATAAAAAAGCTATTTAAAACTTTATGTTTTTAAGTATAAAAAATAGTTTTCCGCTTGTTTTGGAGTTTCTTTTTTTGTTCCTAGATGGCACCACTACTTTAAGAATTCTGTTTGCCCAATTTTAAATTTAGTTTTGCTATGGAACTAAACTCCAATCTGAAATGTTAGACATTTGTAACTAAAATTTTCATTCCTGTCATGATTACAGTAAGAATGAAATGTCGATAGAAAACAGAGATTGAAAATAAGAATATTTTAAATATATTTGATGTGCGGCACCTGCCGTTCTAGTCAGAATGCAGCTTGAGTAAGAAAAATGTACACGATTCATGTTATTACTTGAACTGAAGTGAACAGTGATACTCGTATTCGTTGATCGATTGATCAATCGTAGCGTCGGCAGCATGTGTTGTCTCTTCTCAATCTGATGTTCAGGGATACCAACTGCTCCGCTTTCTGGAATGGTTTTAATAAAGTGATAGCAAATTATATAGTAAAATTTGTTAGAGACGGACAGTTACGCTTACTTATTAATAGAGTAATCAGTTAAATTGATGCTTTAACGTTGCATTTTATGTGATACTTATAATTTTTGATATTTAGTGGTGTAAAAATTACTTATAAGAAAAAAGTAACTAAAAGTAAAACTAAAAGTAACTTGAATTTCGCTACCGCTACGAAGTACTATTTAACAAAGCGCAGCAAGATGGCCTCTCTGGGTGTTACCTTAATGCTTCCATTTTCTTTAAATGTAATAAAAATGTGATTGTCCTTTATTTAATCTCTTATTCATTTAACACAACCTATGCCTCTGATGTATAAGTGATTCATCTCAAATAAGCGCATTGCATAAAAATAGAAAACGTGGGGATTTGCATTCTTTATCTCTGTCTAACGACGCCCCTATAAGGGCTAATATATCGTGTCAATTCCAGTTAAAGTTCTTTACTGTGAAGCTCCAGTTTTTTTTTAAACTTATGAAAATCTTTCAAACCAACAGTAAGCGATAGAGCTTATAACACGATTTTCACTATTTATAAGCACTCACGTTATAATACTTTTGTACAAAACTTAAATTCATTCTCTGAGACGGTATATTGTCCAAGAGGTCACAAAACGACAAATATAACAACCTTGTATGAACTAAAATATTTATTTTTTCTAATTTCAGAAGAAGATGCTTCCGGGAACTCAGCTTAAAAGAGAGCAATACGTGTAGATATCGGTGCGTCCAATTGGTTTACTTATACAGTTGTACACCAGATCTTCAGAGCAGTGAAAAAGATGAAGCCTTGCAAATTCTCTGGGCTTCTATACTTGACCCCTTTTTAACTAAACTAGACATGTGGCTTAGTTTTCTGGTTGATGGAATAACTACAATTCCTAAAGACGCGAGGAGAGCTTGGCGGTGGTACGACAATATTGTGGCTAAAGGAGAGAGTCGATACAGATCACCAAGATCCTTGCAGCATTTGGCTAGATGTGCAATACGTCATCGCTTAACAAGTTATTTCCGTCTTCCTATTGGTGTTGACTCACTTATGTTGCCACAAAAGCTCAAAGACTACTTACTGCTTAAAACATAAATGAGTTTTCACTACAGGAAGTTCGACTGCAGATATTCAAAAGTACAAGCATAGGTTTTAATTCTTTTCTAGTGGAAATAAGATTCTACTGTTTTAATGGAAGCTGAAATAATAAAAAATTAAAATTAGGGCATAAAGTCTATGGAACTGAATATGAACAATAAGCTTCCTTAAACCGGAAGAAATTTAGAAAACTTCCGGTGTATTACTCCGCCTATGTTATGCTTACGAGCTGATGTGTGAACAGGTTTAATACTCTAGGAAGTTTTATTATTGAGATTTGTGCTTGAATTAAAGCGTAATTTTACCATTCATAAGAGTTTTCTATAATTTATAAATTCTTACAGGTCGTGAGCTTAAAAGCAAATTTAACGAAATTAATATCACAGCATAACAACGTTTATTTTATTTGTGTAAAATAGCATCTTTTTTGGGAGGTAGCAGCATAGCAAGCTTGGGGAGTCTTCCGAATTCATTTGTTGTTTGTTTCGTTGAAAGTTATACTGAAAGGACACGTTATACTGAAAACGCTACAAGTATAATAATATTAGATGGTGCGTTTTTTTTCTTTCAAGTTTAGGCGTAAAAATCAGTCGGAAGTCTAATGACAAATTTCAACCCCTAAAGCTGCTTGTGCTTAGTTTTACACGGTCAGCCATTATACTGCTTGAAAATTCTCTTAAAAAACTTAACAAGACTCTTAAACAAATGTATAAAAATGAAAGCAAAATCATAATTTTCAACTCTATATGCACATTTACACACTAGGGTGCAAGAACCAAACAAATCGAAGTTTTTATTTTCAAAACACTATAATGTGCAACTACAGAAAAAGTGAAGTGATTATGCATAACCATGGGATTTAAATCAGATTTGATTGGATACGGTAAGTGACGTCACGCTTGTGTGTCGAACCTAATTGGCTTCTACATCGACAAATGCGGATTTACCTAAGTCACTTGCACTACGTTGTTGACGTCGTGCAGGTATCCAATTAAGGAAAGTAATTAGATGAAGAAAGAAACAAATATACGTAAATTTAATTTTTTTTAAAATCAATTAATATCTTCCGATGGCGCATTGTTCTCAAAATTTATAAAAACTGGCAAAAATAAACATTAACTTAAATTTTATAAAAACCGTTTAAAAATGTACTTTCGACCTATACTTCCTTAAGCTCATGGTTTCAAAAAAAGTATTCTTATTAGACATGCTTCATGCTTTTAATATACAGAGCTTAAAATAAAAACTAAACACCCTGAATAACCTTTGATCTAATAATGGGAGTTACAAGTATTGAGAGTCAATCATGATAGTTCGAGAACCTATACTTAAGTATGCTAGCGATATTTTAAGTTGCGAAATCACACCCAAAAAAGTACTCTGAATAAAGGTGTTTTTTTCCTCCGAAGGATTTGAATTTGTGATCACTTAATGTTAAGAGTGATAGCAATTTAAAATATGGTCCCAACATTTAAGACAGGACAACAATTGAAATTTTGGGGATCTTAAATGTTGATTTCTTTTGCGCATTTTGCCATCTAGTTGAAGCCGAATTTTTAAATTTTTAATTTCTACCTATCTTTAAATTCTTAATTTTCTTTTCTAAAAGGACCATCAGGATTTGCCAAAGTGATTATAATTATTGTAAATTATTGTCATTTAAACAAAATCTTTCTAACAATTGTAGATAAACTAACTTGATAATTTATCTTTAATTGTTATCGAATTTAGGTAAGTTAACTTGACATATAAATGAAGTACATTAAATTTGTTTTGAGATCTTACTAATGCTCTCTTAATTAGGAACGAAAGCGATGAAGTATCTGACCTTAAAAACACATTGAGGATTGTAAAAAAATCTTAAAAACACATTGAGGATTGTAAAAAAATCTTAAAAACACATTGAGGATGGTAAAAATCCTTTGAGGATCTTAAAAACACATTGAGGATGGTAAAAATTCTTTGAGGATCTTAAAAACACATTGAGGATATATTTTTTAATTCATTTGGAATAATTATGTTTTTAATAATCAAATTTTCATGACAAGTACATAACTTTTGACATGATATAAAATCTGCATCTTTTGGATATCTGAGATTATAGTAATTTAAACTATAGTATAAATCAATTTATTTCATTTATGAAAAATTATCAGGCTTTAGGGAATAAAGTTATTTATTTAACTTGAAAAAGTAGTTAGATAGTCTTAAACAAACTGTTAGATAGAATTTAAAAATTATGTTTATAAGTTATTATCGAATATTGAAACTACTTTTGTATATTTTAATTATGTAGTATTCAATTTTTCATGATTGCAATAAAATTGATTTAGTTTTCAGAAGAAAAAAAAATTGTAGATTTTACAGTTAAATATAAAAAATTTAATTTCGAATTTTTGTTTAAATATTTAAAGAAGTGTGAGAAGAGTAGTTTGCTGAGAAAAAAACAAGTTTAATTGAAGAACATAGTTTTTTGTATTTTGTCAGTGGCGTAACTACCACTATAAAAATTAAATATTAACTATTTATTATATAAAACACGCCATTTTATGGCTAATTTAATGTACCTTTAAATATATAATGCTTATTATGATTAACATAATCTATTACTTCCCCTTAATGTTGACCTGGACCATATCGATGGATGGTCCACATTTAACAGCTGATCTGCTCACAAAATAGTGCTCGAAAATTCGAGGAAATAGATATAATTCTCCCGGCCAATAAATAAAGGAACGAGAAAATAATAGCAATAATCAACTAGTGGTATGTCGACCAGCCTACGTAGGGGACAGGGAACTGCCCTTGCATCAGAAAGGTTCTGGGTTCGAATCCCGGACGAGGCATGGATGTTCTTTCCTTCGCTGTACTATCTGCCCTCACTGTGGGAGCGACGTTGGCCCACCTAATATGGTGCCCCTGAAAGAGAGGCCAACAAAAATCGCGCTGTATATGCCTGAATTGACGGATGTTAACACAGATGGGCATTGGAGAGAAAAAATCAACTAGTGGTATTAGTTCATCGAATTCTATCACAGATAAAGTCTTGGAAGGGTTGTAATGTAGCGTAACTACCAGTACAAGTATTAAATACCAATTGATTAGTAGTACACAAACATTGATTATTTCCCAGTGTTACTATGAAGGTTGCATCAAATACTCAGTTGAATCTTTTAAATATTCGATTAGACCAAATAATTTTTTCTTTTCTTTTTATTAAATGATTCTTTTATAAGGGCTTATAACAAGTATTAATGCGAAAATATTAAACAAAAATTTTGCTTCACTATGTCATGTGAAATGACGTAATTACACGTAAATTAAATGTGTGGAAAAAATTAGTATATTTTAAAATTCAAACTTTTAATAATAAATAATTGCAAAACATAAATTTTTACCCGGGATTACCTAGTGATAAACAAGTTTTAATATTGAGATTTTGGCCACTTCTGCAAAAAAATTAAATTAACATCGTGGGATTGAAACGTTCGAGTATTCTCCTGACCAAACTTCTGGGACCATATTTTCCGATACTGCAGCCACCACCAATATTCAGATGGTTAACAATATAAATAAGTAAAATAAAAAAATATGTATGTAGATAAAATTCATTTTCATTCATAGAAAATACGTTTTTGTGTCTGATTTCGCAACTCAATAGATTCCACCAATTAATTAACATAGTTAAGGTCACTTTTTTTAAACCATAAAGAATGACAATCAGTTCCTGGAAATCCGTTCATTTAAACCAAAGTGATTTATACTGATATCTCTTTTTATTTTATGCATCACACATTTGTCAATGATACTGAAATGTTTAAAGGTTGTATAGTTTATTATTGGGAATGCTACTGTTTCCTGTGCAGTCTTATCAATAAGATGGCTTTTTATCTCACATTGTTTATTATTACACGTGAAAAGATTAGATAATAATTATCACTCAAAAATAAGATGTATTATTCCAGTTGAAATTGTTTCAGTCATATGTTCTTTTCATCGTCAACATGGCTCGTATTTTACAAAACGAAAACCTCCTCGTAGTTTATTCCAAACGTTTCTTGCATTTTGAATGGAAGCTTGAAGAAACGAACTTTGAAAGTGGTACTTCACTTCGAAGCGGTGAATTTAATCTCGGTGGTGAAAAAACGTCTTTTCTCGAGTTTGAAGTTGATATACATGAATATTTGTATCTGAATAACCCAGAACCAGCAGCTTATGGACGTCAAGTTCTCACAATATTTGATAAGAATAATGTATGTATTTATAATTTAATTAAATCATTAGATGATCTGAAAATGGAAAGATTCGATTTGCTGGGACATTTGAATTTAACACCTGACACAGCATACCCGATTACAGTATCTTGTACCATAAGGTCATCAAATGCTTCCCTTTCCGAGGAATTGTACAATGCTGTTGACGAGATAAGTGTAAAAGAGCTTTCATCGGACATGAAAAAGGTTCTTGAAGAAGGTCTAAACACCGACGTAGTACTCAGCACGGAAGGGGATGACATTAAAGCCCACAAATTCATGCTGCAAGCTCGTTCCCCGGTATTCCGCAGAATGTTCAACCACGATTCAATCGAAGCTGCTAATAATTCAGTTGATATTTCGGACATTAGTTTATCAACAATGAAGAGACTAGTAACATTTTTGTATACAGGTAGGATGGAAAAGTGCAATTTTGATGAAGCTATGGAGCTGTACTACGCTGCTGACAAATACGAAGTTTTGTCCCTCTTAGAAGCTTGCAAGGTGGAACTGATGAACAATCTTGACATAAAAAACGCTGGTTCCCTATTCACTTTAGTGAACCGACATAGCGACGAGGATTTCAAGGAGAAAGTTGTGCAATTTTTAAGTGCTAATTTTGAGGCTGTCTTAAATGCGGAGCCAGTTTTGAAAATGAATAACGGAGATATAGGATTACTTGTACGTATGTGTGCTATTGCTAAGAGAAAGTAGAGATATTTCTTCATTTTCAAAATGTTATGAGAATTTCAAAGATGAAATCTGTACAGATATATTATATTTTCCGACAGCAGATGACTCAATTCCGAGTTTACGACTACCAACCTTTAGCTTCATAGCCTTGTAACTTTTAACCCCTCCCTGAAGACAAAGGAACTCATGGATAAAGCATTGCGATAAACCTAACCTTTGTGGATGATTTCTTGATGGCACTAACTAACTTTCTGTTACATGCAGAGGGAAACCTTCCACGGTCTGTTCGACAGCAAAGGGTTTGCAACTCATGATCCGTCTACCACTGAGGATATTTTATATCATCACTGTGTTCGGTGCGATCCAGGAGCAGAATTCGTATCAGCAAGCTATCGCTGGAATTTGAGCCTGGTTCACCTAATTAGAAGGTGAGCGCTCTATCTTTTAAGCCACTGGGGATCCAATATGTGCAGCTTGTAAGTGCTACATTTTTGTCTTTCTTTAAAGTGGAGTCATTTGTGGAAGGGGAAAATGAGCGTTTTTATTTAGACGTTTGTCTACGACTGCTAATTTGTTTACTATAATGTACTGACAATAAGGAAGAGGCAAGAAATGAGAAAGTTATACAGTTTACAAGTGTTTTTTTTTAATGTATGTCGTAAAACACACGATGGAAATTAGATTTTTTCCAAATTGGCTGGTAGTTCAATACATTCTGACTATAAGTTCTCATAGACACTAAGTTAAAAAATTGATAGCTTCCCAGATACGATGCTTCAAACATAAAACGTAATTTCCGATATCGTCACGACATTAGCATTGGCTAATGTGCATCACGTGGAGGTTTTCGAATCGGAATTTGTACATGTTATAGTCTTTATAAGGGCTGACTGTTTAAACAAAATGCTACTTGGATGTAAACAAACGCATATAGTTACGCATAAGCGTAACTAAGTCATCAATTATTTGAATATTAATAATTTGTTAGGGAGGTCGTTTCGCTGCGTCATAAATACATTCTGTTAACTTTGTTCGTGAATACTTGCTGTTATTATTATATCGTAAATATCCTTAAAGAGCATGTGACATTGGCAATGTATACGCAAGTAGCCAATGTCCACTACTGTGCTCAAGCACCTTTTACCACAGTGACCGTGGCCTATATCTATCATGTTTGAGGCTCCGTATCTCAAACTCTATCCTTTTTTGGACTTAGTGTCAATGAGAACTTTTTCGCAAAATGTTTCGAATATACAATACATATGTATTAAATTTTCAGCCAATTTGACAGAGAATTAACTTTCATTAGATTTGTGAGGGGTTTGTGTTTTGTGGTTCTCTTCAGACATATAAAATGATGGTATATATTGCATATTATTTTGTATCTCTGCTAAAAATATATTTCTAAGCGAAGGTTGAGCAATTTGTAAATGCTAGTTTTGTGTGTATCGTAAATATGGAGTTAATTTTGGAAATAATCATCGAAGGCATTCATTTGCATATGAATTTTGTAAGCTCCTGGTGAGAAAAGTTTTTTCCCTTTGATAATTCGAAAGCTGTAAATAATAAATAAAAGAAAACCACTGCCTTTTCAATTTGAACTTATTTTGAAAGTCTATGTTTCAATTGCTTTTCATCGAGTGAATCATTATAAAAATTCATATCAAAATTTATGCTTTAAATTTTTTTCTCCTTAAGTAATTTTATTAAAAAAGATTTGAAATGATATCAAACACTGTGTTAGTGTGTGTGAAATATTATTTTATATGCTAATTTACAAAGATTCAGTTTCGTTTGCTCTTAATAAAGCGAATCATAGATGCCAATGTAACGAGAGGATCTCCTCAAATCATAACACAAATTAATTTCAAAATTTATGCCCAAAATTTTTTCTCTCTTTAAGTAATTTTATTAAAGTAAATTTAAAATGATATCAAACACTGTGTTAATGTGTGCGATATATTAATTATTTGCTTGAAAGTGCAGAAGTTATTTAGAGTGATACTTTTTCACTTTTGTGGATTATTCAATTGATGAAAAATGTTTAATTTTGTTAAATAAAATGAATTGGTGTCAATAATATTTAGTTAAAGGTATCTGATATAAAAATGTACTTTCTCTAAATAACATACTTTTGGCAGAATTTGAATTTTCGGACCTTCAAAAAATGCCTCGTGAGGTGGCTTGCAATCTGCAAAATATGGTCCTAAATTGGTTGAGGCAGGAAAGTGTGGGCTCTATAATTTTATTTTCAATGTTTTCACTTTTAACGGATTTCGCCTTCTCAAAGAAGTTTTTTTTTTCTCAAGAACTACTGGATAGATTCTTTTCAAATTTCCGATTTTATTTAACCCTTTAATGGACCATTTATTTCTAGTAAGGTTGCATTAAAATACTTTTTGAATTTATATGAAAAAACTCATTTATATTAGTTGATAAAATTTAATTTGAATTTTAAAAACATTTTTTATGGCAAGTATGTTTACTACTACCCAACAGGCGTTATAAAAAAGTTAGAAACTTTATGACTTTCATTTCTTTTCATTTGTAAAATTAATTTTATAATTACTCCAAACTGAAAAAGGAATTACATATTATTACTTATTTGACATTCCCTAAAAACAGGCATATTGCAACCAATTTTATTCAACATTACTTCACCAGAGCTGAAGTCAATTACAAATGGCATACCAACGTTACATTGGTGGTAAATATACTTACCACGGCCTTAGAAAGGGCTAAAATAAGTAGATTAAATTAGTGTGAAAATTTATGTACCTTACCATTAAAACCTTTTTCTATCATTGTTAAATGAAATATCGAAACATATTTTTAACTTGGATTTATCTATGAATAAACAAATTTAACTATTTAATTTGTTTCATTAGTTACAGAGGTATGACGGATTATGCAAAGAAAAGGAAATTAACAATTAGGGGGCCAAGTTTCAACAGCTCTGCTGCCAAATCTATTTCGACCACATTTTACTGATTGCGACTATGCTCCATATTTAAAGAGTTGAGAATCTAAATCCCTCAACAAAAATAGTATGTTTTTTTCTGCCTTGCTTAGTAGCTTGAAATTTGTTGCACCAATTGATTGGCATATTTAAGGTTATGTTTACATCATTAAATGTGAATCCCAGTAAATTAATTTAATTCCTTTTCCCTTAAAATCAACTTTCCAGCTTAGCATGAAAGTGTTACATTTCCAACATATACAGTCTCTGGCGAAATTATTACACGCACTAATTCTATGCAAAATCTAATTATCCGTCTCTGAGTTCTTCTTCGGCATTATTTAATAAAGAGCATCGATACGAATTTTTGTTATTCATGTTACAATACAAAATTGCTTTATTGATTGAGTTTTGGAGATGCAATATACATCAGTACCAAACTGTGTCACATAAATACTAAAACGTGGTTAGAGTTTTAATAATTACTTATACATTTAACTATTAAAGTGCATGCTCCTCACAGAACATAGTAGAACAGCTCTTTAAGCTGCCCTAGCAACAGTAACAAAGAAATGGGTTTTGTTATTGACGAAAGATCACAGTTCACTTCCTTCCCAAAGCGAATTTATTATGGCGATAACAAAGATCTGATTTATATTACTCTCAGTAAGATTTGAATTAAAAGAACAGTTCAAATTGTTAAATGCTAAACTAAAATAAAACCGGTATAGCCTGGTTGGTAGGTTACTGTGCACATATCCAGGAGGTCGCGGGTTCGATCCCCTCCGGCCGAAGACTCCCCACGTAGTAAATGGTCGAGTCACAATATCCTCCGAGTTCCCATATCAAATCATTACTGATCCAGGAGTTTACTTGTCTTCTGCATTGGTTCAGAATTACAAGGCTACGGAGTTGAACATTAGTAGTCGCTAACCCAAAATTGGGACGGCTGTCCAATGACAGTTATAAAATATAATAAAACTCTTTTCGTTTCCTAATTTTTTTATTTTGCGTTTAAAATTTATTCCAATGCTACTAGAGTTGGTTTGATTTATACTTTTTTTTTCAAAATTAGTGATTTCTGGACTGTAAGTCATAATATCCTACTTTATCTGATATAATAAATGCTCCTAACTCTGGTTTACTGCTTCATGTATATAAATATTTAAAATTTAATTTATTCATGATTTTGTAATTTGGTCTGATTGAATTAGTAAAATATCAAAACAAATACGCTCTTTTTTATTAAAAATGCATAGTTCAAGGTTTTTGCCTGCTGGAGTAATAATTCGGAAACCCTAGTGTTGACATATCTATGTTACTGTGAATGACCGAAATTGCTGCTTGTTGACTTCCACCGGTATCGAAATTGCTGCTTGTTGACTTCCACCGGTATCGAAATTGCTGCTTGTTGACTTCCCGGTACCGAAATTGCTGCTCGTTGATTTCCACCGGTACCGAAATTGCTGCTTATTGACTTCCACCGGTATCGAAATTACTGCTTGTTGACTTCCAGCGGTACCGAAATTGCAGCTTGTTAACTTCCACCGGTATCGAAATTACTGCTTGTTGACTTCCAGCGGTATCGAAATTGCAGCTTGTTGACTTCCACCGGTATCGAAATTGCTGCTTGTTAACTTCCACCGGTATCGAAATTGCTGCTTGTTGACTTCCA